TTTTTTCATGCACCCCCCCCATACAAGCCACATTTGTGGAGAATTTGTGATATTGTTGTCACAGGCACAGAGTTGCTGTAGGCCTCTTGATCGCCTCTCTGACCAGTTTCCTCCTGGCTATTTCATCCAGTTTGGAGCGACGTCCTGATCCAGGGAGGGTCTTGTGTTGTACCAAATACCTTCCACTTCTTAATAATAGACTTCACTGTGCTTCTAGGCATTGATAAAGCCTTTGAATTTTTTTTGTATCCATCTCCTGACTTGTGCCTGTCCACAACTTGTCTTTTGACAGTACTTTGCCACCCATAGTTGATTGTTTGCTTCAGTTGCACTACCAAGGACTGAAATGCTCCAGAAAAGCATTTTTCATGCTGAGCTAATCAAAATGACCACAGCTGATCACAGTTGAACGTCAAATGGCTTTGTGTGCCGTTGAGAAGGTGATTAGCTACACCTTACTGAGTTTACAAGTCATTTTCAGGAGGGGGTGATCCTTTTTCCAACTCAGTGATTCTGTTTTTTTATTTATTTTTAAATACAGCTGGATAAAACAACGTCTTCATTTCAGGCTGCAAAGCAACAACATTTGATTATTTTAAAGGGGGGTAATTTTCTATGCCCATTGTATATACACTAATCCATCCTCTTGAACCCGAAGGAAAAAAAAATATTTTTTTTGCTCAAAATACACTCAAAGTTACCTAGAACTGGCTTCATGAAACAGGCCAAAGGACTATCACTGAAATTCTACTAACCTGTTGTAGTCCAGCACCACAGCTGGAATGGGAACCTCCTTAAGGGTCCGAAGTGCATCGCTTTTCACCTTTCTCTGCACAGTATCACCTTCATAAGCTTTATGGAAGGTGGAGCACATCTGCACTTCCTGGGAGTCTTTCCACTCAATAAACAGAAGATTATCGTCCCTGATCCAGCGCATGGTGCCGCGTGGAGCGTTCTTCGACAATCTATTCACTGAGATTTTTGGGAAACCCTTCCTGGTCGACAAAACAGGGCCACAAGCCCAGAACTTTTTACACAAGAGGTCCCTGAAGAGTGTGGGGCTGGTGTAAAATTTGTCCACAAACAGTTTGTACCCAGAGCCCAACATATTTTCATCCACCAATGCCATAACGGACTCATAGCTCAGGCCCACATTCTGTGACGCACATGACTTCCCCTCGTAAATTAAGAAGTCCCATGTATAGCCACAGGTGCAGTCTGTCAGTGCAAAGAGTTTGTATCCTCTATCTGCAGATTTGTCTTCCATGGATTGTTTGAGTCCAGCTCTAGGCTGTGCTGCCACTATTCTTTCATCAATGGTGATGTTCTGAAAGGGATGAAAATGGGTCTTGCAGGCCTCTCGAATGAGTTGAGATAGAGGTAGAATTTTACCTAACCGTTCATAGGCTGCTGTTCCCTTCTTCAAGTAATTTTTCTCATCTTCGATGGTATTGCTGAAATGAAGAGTATTGGCGATTGTCACAAATTTTTGATAAGACATGACATGTGCAGGAAAGGATGGACTGAAGTACTGGGACTCCCGCCAATATTCTGTCAGTAAAGAGCACTTCAAAAGACTTGTGTAAATTACCAGTCCTATGTACGACTTCAAGTCTTTCAGAGAAAGGTAGAGCCAAGGATTACCCACATCCTTGCACTTGCTCCCATAGACATTTGTGTGCCCTACAATAGACTGCATCATTGTTTTTGGAAAGAACAGCTGAAAAAACTGGAGAGGACTGCTACAATTGCTTGGTAAAAACTTTGGTCCAGGTTCTTGGACAGGTGTGAAGTCTAGCTGAAGCGGTTCAACATCTGTTTCATCTAAGCTGCGCCACCTTTCTGTTGACAAGCCATCATTTTCACTCTCCCTGCCATCTCCTCCAGCAGCAGAACATGTGGAAGACAGACGGGATCTCTTTCTCTGCTGTAGGTCGCAGTCCTCATCTGGTGAGTAAATATCAGGTGAAGGCCTATTCCATGGAACAAGAAGAAGAAAAAAAACAATTAGCAAGGTTCTTCACAACTGTGTTGATTAAATGCCTGTGTTCACACCAACACAAATGTTCAGTCTGTTTTTGCATGCGATTTGTTGGTTCAGACAAATGCATAAAAATGGCAGTAGGTTCCACTTCTAGAAGAGCAGAAATACAGCAGTTATTCCTCTACACAATGCAGCACTGCACAACTTTGTTACTAACCTGGGCTGCGTTTCCCAAAAGCTTCGTAAGCCTAAGTAGTTCGTAAAAACGATCGTACGACTGATCTTAATATTACGGTCTGTTTCCCAAAAGCATCGTAACTTAAGTAGCACTTGAAAATCATCGTAGCTCTACGAGTGCTCTGGGGTAATCGTAAAGCCCTAATTGCATCGTAAGAAGACAGATTTATGCGGTCACCTGCAGGACAATCGGCAGATTGCACCTTTAACTTTATTCAAGTGCAATGCGATTATAATATAAAGTTTTGATTGTACTTTATTGTAGGCTACACTTTATTACTCGTTTTTATGAATTTATAAATGAAATAATTAAAAAGGGCAGAAAAAATAGAAATACACATCTAAATTAAATGACTGAACAAAAATGAATAAAAGTAATGTAAGAAATTTTTATTATTATTATGTAAAGTATAATATTATACGTATAAATATAATATAATATAATATAATAGTTATTATATCGGAGTTGTCTGGAACACAGCATTAGGTTTACATTTCAATAAACGAGCGTGTACTACAATTACGAGCCAGGTGACATTTCAGCACTTGACAAACGGATAGCGACTCCTACGTAGCACTTAAAGCACGGCTACGTGTGATTGCGTTAAGTGCATTTTTGGGAAACACACGATCGTAAAATGACTCGTACAAAACGCTCTTAAGCTCTAAGATCAGTCGTTATCGAGAAACGCAGCCCTGCTTGTCACAGAGAACTACTCAAACATTATTTACATGTTTTTAAACAGCCATTCAGATTTTTGTTTTTGCTATGGTGTTCATAAGACGGCCAATACAAGAGTACAGAGACAAGAGAGTCAGTTTTGAAAGAGATAAGAACACCAGTACACAAGCAGGAAAAATCTGTCACATTGACGCCATGCGAATGTTTGTGTCAGGATGCACAGACACATTAACTGCTGTTCATTCAAATATTCATCTTCATACTCATATTGTTGTACACAGGACTTTAAGACTTGTTTTTGTTTAACAATTGCACAAGTACAAAGTCTCTCATGCTCTTCCATTAAAAAAAAAAAAGAGTTTATGTTGACTTGTTAATAGGTGATTTGTAGACACAGTAACACATTGTAGATCTGTGGAGTGTAAAGTTTTTATTTCTATACTTAATTGTGTCAGTAGGCCCTACGTAGCATGTTGTTGCTGGTGTTTTATTATACATATATAAAAGCATAGTCCATTGCTATCATGACTATGGATTTTAAGATTATAAAAATAGTATTATTTGCTATGGATCTTCAATGATTTCATCAAATCCCCATTCTAACATGCTGTTATGACAAATTGCTGTTTGAAGGGTAAGTCCATACAATTACATTTCTTTGCATCAACCATAATATTTAACCCACATTATAAATGTGAGTGCTAAAATACGGTGTTAAAAGAAAGTAAATGTGTCTCAGGAAAATGTGTAGAAAAACTCACCAATCTAGAACAGGGTCAAGACCATTCCTTAACATTTCCTCTGCTGTGCTGTCCACACTGCTGGCCACACTGTACTGGTCACAAACATAAAGATCTTCATCATTACTGGCTACACTGTCCTCCACGCCATTCTCAGTACTTTTCTTTGGATCCATCGGAGAGTTCTAAAGAGCAATCGATGCGAATGTATCCTGCTGAATGTAAGGTGAGTAAAACAGTGAATTAGTGGCCTCTGCATGTTTTAGGGAGTACAGACAAACCAGCAATCGATGCGAATGTATCCTGCTGAATGTAAGGTGAGTAAACAGTGAATTAGTGACCTCTGCATGTTTTAGGGAGTACAGACAAACCACATGTCACTGTAATCTCAAATTCATATATTATTTTTATTCCAATGTCCTATATAATGCCATACCGTTTAGCAGGCAAATCAAGCAAGTCGATGTTTATGCGCCGCCTGAGTGGCGTTGTTGACTACAGATAAGAATTTAAACTCAGTCAGTGTCTTTAAACGAACAAGACGGGCGGTTATAGTAAATTTACTTAAACTTGAAGCCTGGTGGGTAAGCTGACAGCACCGCAAACAATGTATAACTGTTTCGAAGATTAGCCGTAAAACTTAAACAACTCACATGCTAGGGATGTAAACAACAATCACATACAAACTTGTTCACTTGCTCTCCGCGCGGGAGTCACAGGAAGTGACGTAATTTTAAAATAATTATTATTTGAAATAACAGTAGGGGAATACAAAGTCTTACAAAAATATGAGTCTATAAAACAATACAACCCAAAAATTTCAAATTTTTCAAAGATTAACTAAATATCTAAGTATCCTCTTTAATAGTTGATAGATGTCTTAACAGCTTTACGATGGTTCTGTATTGAAGTTAGAGAATCATAGACAACCTTTAAATCAATAGAAAATAGTCGACCATTTGGTACAGTTAATATACATTTTGCTTTGTTTATGTGATATTTCCCCAATAAAACAATAATTTTTAATTATATTGTCCATTTCCAATAGATCGGTATCACAATCCAAAAACAAGACCATTATATCAGTTATAGTGACAAACTTGTAAAACACTTAGGACCAAAATAGTTTGGCATAATTACAACTGAAAAATAAATGAAAAATGGTTTCTGACTCTTCTTTACAAAACCAGCATAAGAGCGAGAACCCTTCTTTAAACGTACTGATAAAATCATTACATGGATAACATCTATGCATTGTTTTAAAATGAGTTTCTTTGGCTTTATTAGGAATTACATATTTATTCATATCTGACCACGGATTCTGAAATAAAAGTGAGGGATAATCCTGTTTCAATTTCGCCATTGCCTTTGGTTCTTTTTTTGGTTAAAATTTTCCTAATATAAAAGTTACTGAATTTTTAAAATCCCTGATAGAAATGCCCCCAACAGTAAAATCTGGAAGAGAGCCAGTAATCGGCTTATACATTGTTTTCATTTTTAAGAAGGCGAAGTAGGTTTGGGGCCAATAGATCGGTATCACAATCCAAAAACAAGACCATTATATCAGTTATAGTGACAAACTTGTAAAACACTTAGGACCAAAATAGTTTGGCATAATTACAACTGAAAAATAAATGATGGTTGGTTTCTGACTCTTCTTTACAAAACCAGCATAAGACGGAGAACCCTTCTTTAAACGTACTGATAAAATCATTACATGGATAACATCTATGCATTGTTTTAAAATGAGTTTCTTTGGCTTTATTAGGAATTACATATTTATTCATATCTGACCACGGATTCTGAAATAAAAGTGAGGGATAATCCTGTTTCAATTTCGCCATTGCCTTTGGTTCTTTTTTTGGTTAAAATTTTCCTAATATAAAAGTTACTGAATTTTTTAAATCCCTGATAGAAATGCCCCCAACAGTAAGATCTGGAAGAGAGCCAGTAATCGGCTTATACATTGTTTTCATTTTTAATCATATCTGACCACGGATTCTGAAATAAAAGTGAGGGATAATCCTGTTTCAATTTCGCCATTGCCTTTGGTTCTTTTTTTGGTTAAAATTTTCCTAATATAAAAGTTACTGAATTTTTTAAATCCCTGATAGAAATGCCCCCAACAGTAAGATCTGGAAGAGAGCCAGTAATCGGCTTATACATTGTTTTCATTTTTAATAAGGCGAAGTAGGTTTGGGGAAATACAATGAATTAGTTTTATATATTCACTGGAAGATACATTTAATCCACAATTATTAATAAATTCAGTGCAATTATATAGATCACCTGAATGATTTAATAAATCTGTAACAAAAATTAAACCTTTGTTAAACCAATCACTCCAAAAAATGGACTTGTTTTTGAATAATATATATTGATTGTTACAAATAACACATGAATGGGGAGAGAAATTATGTTTATAGACTAATTTCCAAAGTTTAGGAAGTGATGTAAGTAGTGAAGGGCTGTATTTCTTCTTCTTCTTAAGCGTTTTTGGCGGTTTGCAAACCAGCTAATAGGTGCCTTACCGCCACCTGCTGGACTGGAGTGTGGAACAAAAGTCTGGCTGAGAAAGACAAGAGGAGAAAGAAAAGAAAAAGAAAATACTATTCTATGATCTTCATATTCGTTCTAGTAGACCTGTCTCTTTCAGATATGAAATTAACTGTATTTCCTTAGTGCTGTTCCAAGTGTATTTTCCAAAGTAAATTGAAGTTTATCTTTTTCAAATACTTATTTTAATAGGCTATTATTCTCTTATTTTCATATGCATGATATTCTATTATTATATGTTTTACTGATTCAGTTTGGTTACAATGTGTACATAAACCATTAATGTTTTTATCTATTAAATGCAGAGTCTTATTGAGCCCTGCATGTCCTATTCTGAGACGAGTAATGACTGTTTCCTCCCTCCGATTTTTACCCATTTCTCTTCCTAGAGAACTTTGCTTTGAATATTCTAAAAATGTCTTCCTGTATCATCCCAGTATTCCTGCCATAGCTTTTGTGTATGTACCTTTATAGTCTTGGCTTCAGCTTTACTTAATTTAACCTGTAGATCTATTGTTTGGGATTTGAGAGATGGTTTTGCTAAAAGATCTACCTCTTCGTTTCCTTTCACACCTACATGATGCGCAGGAACCCAGATAAATGATACATTCGTACCATTATTGTGTAATCCAAGGATTATTTTATATATTTTATTTAAAATGTCAAGTCTACATGACTTCCCGGATCCAGTACTCATGAGAGAAGATAAACTATCAGATGCTACTACATTGTTTTTATTTCTTCGTTCTATCCACTGTAAACCTAATATTATTGCTACCAATTCTACACTGATAAGTAATCTGTTGTTCTCTTTTTAATATTTTCCTCGCATTGTGGGATGTATACTGCAGCACCTGTGCGACCATTTTCAGGATTCTTTGAACCATCTGTAAATAAAATTATTTTATTGGTGAAATGCAACTCCATATATTTTTTAACTATACACCAGACAGGCATAAGTTTCGATTTTCTTTTTATTTCTTCCTGTAATTGCAAGTCAATTAATGTCATTATAAACTTCCGAGGGGGAACTTCAGAGTATGGAACTGTTGGGACAGTATTGTATAGTATGTAAACATGCCTTTCTTGCTTTTGCACTTCCTATCCATCCAAAACTCCTAAATTTTTTTTTATTATGTTCCCAACAGTCTTGTACTATTGCCGTTGTAGAGTGTAACGCACTATGCCCTTGTATGTTAACCCAATATGCAAGCATAAGTCTTCTAATGCTTAGAGGCATCTCCCCAATTTCTACCTGTAAAGCCGCTACTGGTGATGATTTAAATGCTCCACTACATATTCTTAGCGTTTGAGCTTGCTCTGTCTAATTTCTTTAAGTATGTTTCTGATGCTGACATATAAGCTATACACCCATAGTCAAATTTTGACCTCATAAGAGCCCAGTATATATTTCTCAATGAAGACCTAGTCGCTCCCAAATCTAGTCCAGACAAACAACGCAAGACATTATTAATTTTCTTACATTTTGATTTAATTTGATCAATTTGCGGTTTCCATGTCAGCTTTTCGTCTGAAAGAACCCCAAGAAATCTAGTTACCCTAACTTGTTCAAGTTCTTGGTCATTTAACTTTAAGGAAATTTTCTGTTTCTTAGAAAAACAAATTACCTGTGATTTTAGGGCTGTATTTTTCCCGCGAATCGGTTCATTTTAAACGGCCATAGGCTGTATGGCAGAACCATTCTAACGCTGAATCCAATCCCGTTTCGTAATCATGGTAATTTCACTTTTTTTTTGTTTTTAATAACAATTTTTTACTTTTTTCGTCCCCTTTCAGTTTGTTTCAGCACATTAATACAAAGCCATTTAGAACTTAAATACAGCCTTCAGCCATAAAACTGTGCTAAAATTAATTTACATATATTCACAGAAAATGTTTTGACTGTTTTACTGCGTCTTGACTGAAGTGTCATTTAACGAGGTCGTAAATACAATTTCCAGTGTTATATTTGTAATACGAGCAGGTAATGTGTGAGAAGTTAAACTTCCCTCTTGCGGTGAAACCGGTGAAACTCACTGACGGACTCTTAATACAGTAACTCTATATCTATTTATCTGTCTGTCATCACAGAAAGAGTAACTGACGGTCATTAGAAGATCTCTGTATAATGCTCTTGCAGGATAGCAGAGATGCATAATTCTAAGAGTATCTTTTTCTGTAAATAAAAAAAAAAAATCTGTGGCAGATAAAATGTATGTGGCCAAAAACCACTGCATTACCTCAAAATAACCTACAAAATGAGCGTGGAACCACATTGATTTGACCAAATTCTGATTCAAATGCCAGTTAAATGTTCCCTCACCAATGCATGTTTTCTCACATGTATAAACCAAGCAAATACATAAAACGCACATAATTTCATTCCATTCAAAACCATTTATTCCACTTTACAATGTAAATTACATTTAATTTACATATTCTGATCATTTTTTGAATGAATGTACCATGAATGAACAGTGGGGGAAAAAAACTAAACTAAACAAAACACTGTTACATATACTGAAGCCATAAATCAAAAGCCTCTCATGTCAGTCCCTCTTGGGCTGAAAGCACATCACGTCATAAGTCTCGCACGTGACTGGTGTTTTCTGGCAGCAGAGCCTGCACTTCCGCCTGCCAGTGCTGTCCGCTGTTATGTGCTTTGCCTTGTGGAATATAGCAGGAACTGCCGAGGAGGATCCGGAAGAAGAGGGAGCTGAGGGAACCGGTGCTTAGTCCTGAGGACATATTTCTGTAAGCTCTATAATAAGCGCCTCCAAGAATGCCTTTCTGGTCAAAGGCTTCTTGTTCTTTCCCTTGGCCATTAGTTCCTGCATGATGAATGCATTCTCTACAATGATGTCCAAAAAGTGGTAAAACACACATTGATACCACTTTCTCGGTTTAAGCAGAGCTCGGTAATGTCCAGTAATGCGATCTGACGAATCAACTACTTCCATGTTCCTGTGTGGAATAAAATGCATATTTCAAACTCTAAAAAGATCAAGGCATTTAATGCATTAAAGGCACAGGCACAATAAAGTGAAACAAGGAACATCAAATAAATTCTACTAACCTGTTGTAGTCCAGCACCACAGCTGGAATGGGAACCTCCTTCAGGGTCCGAAGTGCATCGCCCTTCACCTT